AATGCAGTTACCTTTGTGTTTCTGTTTATTTCTTTAAGAAAGTTCTCAAACGATGATAGGTAATTCATAATATATTTATGAATAAAGAAAAAGTTGTTTTTCCTTTAACATTCTAGCATGTTAAATTAGGCTAACATATCTAAAGTACGGGCTATTGTACTTGATATTTTAGCCAAGTCATTTGATGTTTCAGCTAAATCTTGGTCTTTATGCAAAGGCTCTACAGAGTGACCCCTAGTCATGGTTTTGCAGTTCATTTATTTTAAAGGGAATCACAAATTATTTTAGCCGAAACATTCATAGCTAGCATCTGTTTGGGATAGAGAAAGGTAGAATATCAGTACTAAACTATCTGGATCCTGTTAACCTAAAAAAACACCCAGCCATCCTGACCTGCCTTAGCAGTCTGCCTCAGCAGCACCCAGCTTCCAGGGATGTTGAAGACTTTTTTTTTTTTAAGATTTTTTTTTATTGGGGAGTTGGGGGAGGGGAACAGCGCTAGGGAATCTGGGGAAGGGGAACAGACAAGTTGCTGTCCTTTTGTTCTTCAGTCTAGTTGTGGAGGATGTCGCTTCACTGGCCCAAGTTGATATTATCATTGCACTCTTCCTGGGTGAGGCAGTCACTCATGGGCCATTGGACGGCTGCGTATGCCAGCTGCCGGCCAGCCCCACTGCAGCCTACGCCATCAGCGGCGGCTCACAGCAGCCCAGCTCCAGGTCGAGCTATTATTCACCATCTTAGCTGTAGAGGCGCAGCATCACTGGCCCCCAATGTGGGATCCGAACCCGGGCCCTGCTGCTCATAGCTGGCGTCCTAAGCCAACTCCTAACCAATGCGCCACTCGGCCAGCCCTTGAAGACATTTTTGAGGTACCATAGGAAACTTAATGACTGACACCATAAGAGGAGACATCATGGTGTAGTGAAAAGCACTGGAATTACAAGTGAAGAAACCACTTTCTGAGCCAACTTTTGCAACTGACAGTAAGACCCCAAGCAAGTCATTTAACTGTAATCTAACCTAAGTACACAAGGTTGTGAAGACTAGACAGAAAAGACACCTGATCCTCAAATTTCTTCATGTATTAAAGGAAGTGATACAATAACATTTCTTCAGGTCTAAAACTCTGTTGTTGTTTTCCCCCAAAATAATATATAATGACATTTTGAAAAGTATAAAACTTCATATGCAGAGAATTTATAAAGTCAAGTACAGTAAAACCTTGGATTGCGAACAACATGGTTTGCGAGTGTTACACAAGATGAGCAAACATTTGTAATACATTTTAATGTGGTAAACGAGCAATGTCTTACAATATGAGTAGGTTGTTTCTGGAACAAATTATGTTTGCAAAGCAAGGTATTGTAGTTAGGCAGGAAATTGTTAACAAAGCATGACATTTGTAGACTTTTAACAGCATGATGAAAGATGATGGCTAATACGCTATCACATTCTCTCTCTTGCTTCTATGGGATTTAGTTCCAAAGTTTTAGCTTCTGCTTATAGCCCAATTCTTATTGCATATTCACGTGTTTGTAATAGAGAGTTATCAGCAACTTTTGCTGTATAAAGAGTTATCTTTGACATTTATTTAAATATATCCATTGTAATAAAGAATATAGTTCATTGTATGTTTCAGAGTAGATGGTTTGGATCATAAAGTCCATTCGTCTTTCAAGTGTTATATTTAAGGTTTTTGATGAACCCCAAAAACATTGCATGACTTTTTTTATTTTTTAGCTTTTGTTTATACTGGATGTTATTGTGACTGTTGAAAATGGTTTAATTGCTTATATGCACAGGTTCGATTTGATTTAATTTGGGTCTGAAAAGTGGAAAGTAATGAGAAGCAGGGTCAACTGCAATGCCCAAACTCAACACAATATTGAAATAGAAGCTAGGTACTGAGATTATAGTTAAACCATAGTCTTTAAGTTATTTGAAGGTTGTGATCTATTAACAGGATATATAGACGCTTGACTCCTAGTAGCAGTGATATTCTTGAGATCAATATTTGTATTCTTGATTTTAAAACTTGGCCAAATAGAACAAAAGAAAGTAAATACTTTTAAGCTAATTTCTTTTGAAATACCACAAAGCTGAAACAAAGAGATGTAAAGTTAAAAATAAAGCTTCACTTCCAACCCCACTATTACCCTTCCCAAGCCCAGAGATAAGTGCAACGAACAGATTGGTGTGTTACTACCAACTCTTCCAGAAAACTTCTGTGCATATATAAATATATACATATATGTTTCTGCTACCCACCCCAATTCATTCTCAATAATTTCACTTAATATTAGTATCTTGCACATCTTTGATATCAGTACACAAGTCTACCTTTTCCTTTTTCATGACTGCATAATGTCCCATTGTACGGCTATTCTATGATTTATTTAAACAGTCCCCTATTAATGAACATTTACATTTTTTTCATTTAATACAATATTACCATGAAGATTTCTATATGTATATCTTAGCATTACTTTTGTATAAGATAAATCCTAGTAGTGGCAATGCTGATTCAAAGGATACATTGAATTGATTTGCATTTTCTTGGTTTTGAGTTAAGTTGAACGTTTTCTCATATGTTTATTGGTCATATTTTGTTTATGTTTTGCTGAACTACCTATTCATAAACTCGCATTTCTTATTGGTTTACTCATTTTTCTTCAGTTGGTTTATTCGTATTTGTAGAATTCTGTGTTTTAAAGTTAGCTCTATATCTCTGCATTAACAAGTATTTTCCCAACTCATCTTTTGATTTTTTTGTTATTTTATTTCTATTTACTTGCTTATTGTTTTGCCATTCAGTAGTGTTAATTTTTGTGTACTTAGGAATTATTTACATTAAGTTTTTTGGACTTTGTGTTTTATATTTAAGCCTTTCCCACTTTAAGATTATTAAAATGTGTTTTTTTAGTACTTCTGTAGTTTTGTATACTTAAATAAGTGATTCATGTGGAATTAATTTGGTGTAAAGAGAGAAGTAGGGCTCCATCTTTAGCCATTTACTTGCCTGAAACACCATTTATGTGATAACGTACTTTTGCCCAGGAATTGGAAATGCAATCTTGATTTCATAAATTCCTACATTTGGACATATAAAATTTTATAAAGTCCTGTGTGCATTTTGGTCAATTTCTGGAATCTATATTTTTTCTATTGATATATCTGTATATAACTTCTAGTAGCACCAAACTGTTTCACTACTGCAACTTGTAAATTGTATTAGTATCTGCTAAGGTAGTTCTTCTCATTCTTCTTTCATAATATACTGGCTATTATCACTTTTTTTCTAGATAAATTTTAGTATTTTGTCAAGTCACTGCTCGCCCTCCCCAAAACAAACTTAACAAATACCATCTTGGGATCAAGTTGAGTGTGTGTGCACGTGTAAAAATGGGGGAAGGAGGAGATAACATCTTTATTGTAATGATTTTTTTCTATCCAGGAATAAGACATGGATTTCCATTTTCAAATTTTCTGTTATTCCCCTCAATAGAGTGTTACAGCTTTTATCACATACCATAAATTCTGCATGTTATTTTTTAAACTTGTGTTAATTTCTTTTTTATTACCCTTGTAAAAGAGATTTTTTTTCCTTCCATTTTTCAAGTTGATTATTGTGTTTATAAAAGTTACTGGGTTTTGTGTACTTGAGATTTCCAGATATATCGGATCTGCAAATAATTTCTCCTCTTCCTCTCCAATATTTGATGCTTCTTTCTCTTAATCTTTTGTATTTTCTTAATGCATGACCCATTTTGCCTAGTTTTTCACATTTACCTGCATAATTTGTTATCTAATAATTCTTGCCAATTTCTTCTGTGGTTATGTTTGTTTGTCATTTGTAATCAAAGGAATTCGTGTTTACTTGCCCTACTGGCTACAGGAAATAATAAAGATACTCAATATTATAATCTTTGAAGTTAGAGAATTCTTCCATGCAATTAGTTTGTATGCCTCACCCTGCTGTTGAAGTTAGGTTTTTGTTATTGTTGTGGTTGTTTTAACTTCTGTCTCCAATAGAACTGAAGTCTGTTCTATCAAGCTTCTCTACCAAGATTATTACAACGTCTCTTGTTAGCTTTCTTCTATGCTAAATCATTTTAGTTTTTTGATACAGCCTCATGAAACATAATTTTCTATATCCTCTTTTGGAATTTGTTCAAGAGATCTAACATTTTGGATAAATTCTTAAGACACCTTTTGTTGAAGGATCTTCATCACAGTTACATTGCTTGCCTTTTAGAAATATTAGTTTATCTTACTATATATTTTGAATAGCCGAACTAACTGCATCCTCAGAGCAAATAGTATTTAGAACAGATATTAAAATGATCAAGTCTCTTTTGTTTATATAGTTATGTTTATATTTTCTGGGACAAAGGATTTATTGACAATGTCATGGACAGTGTTTCAACAGACTTGAAAATAAAGGCCATATTAGGTCCTGGGGTTCCCTGCCCCCAAACACTCTGTTCCTTCTTTTTGAATGAGTTACGAGAGTGGCAAAGAAAAGCATGTTTGTAAGGCAAATAGGGAAATTCCAGGGAAGAGGCAAGGTGGGAGCTAGTAGTAATTTATGTGATAACATTTGTTTAAATATGTGTTTACATGTGTTTTTCTGCAGATGTGATCAAATACTAATATATATTCCAAGGTAAAATGAATGTGATAGTTTAATAGTAAACTTAATAAGCTCAATTTAAACTTTGTAAGATGATAACAATATTTTCTAAAACTCCAGCATTAAAGATTGATGTAGCTGCAATTGAATAATCTTGAGTAAAGCAGTCCAGATCGGTGCTTTTAAAAAGGAAGCAGCAATGATTTTGTGAATATTCAATTTTCTGATGATGTATTTATTGTATAAGTATGTTAATGATTTGCCTCCATTGAGAAATGGTTTTTAGAGGATTGTAAGGGATTACTTGCCTTACATAGGAGTATTACTAATTTTCTCTCTCTTTCTCTCTTTCACCTCTTTTTAGGTCATGGAAAATGGAAGATTTGCAAAATACAAATATTTTACCCATGTCATGATCAATAAAACAGATATGTTAATGATAACCAAAAGGTAACTTTCTCTAATGTAACTTGATAAGGGTTTAACTGACAGCACTCATGATGTGAAGCAGCTGTTAGTCACCTTTTGTTCCAGTCACACTGATTCCTCCTGCTAACTCTGGTGATCTTGCTCGATAAGCCTGGTACCTAAAATCTTCCATAAATTCATGTTTAGCTTTGTGCATGCATACAGCTAAACTGCAGTGCTACCCACAAACATAAATAATTTAGAAATTATTTCAACCAATTCAGACTGATACAGAAATTTCCATAAAACTATCCTCTCAAGGGTAGACCAATACCATGCCTTCCCCCTCTCTGAAAACATACAAACTTTCAGGTTATCCCAGAAGTCAATAGTCTTCTGGTGGTATCTTTTCATTAGAATACATATTGATTACTCACATAAATAGCTGTACCACTGGAGACAGATCAGATTTTATGTGGGTATTCCCAGCTACAGACAAGTCCTTAAATAGACCTGTAGACAGTAGAAGGGTACATGCAAAAATGCACAGTGGCATAGCTTCATGGGCAGGTTTTCCAGGAGGCATTTGTTGAAAAGAATAAGCAAGTGCATTATCAATATGGAGATTTCTGGTTAGCAGAGTGAAAATGGCTGAGGGAGGAGAGGTTATGGCTGAATAGAAAGGAGTGATCAATTTGGCCACTATTGAAAAGGCAAAGTTCTGTCAATATCTTGTTAGTTCAAGTTGACTGTTGAACTTAGTCATTTTTAATGTTTGTAATCCAAATAATTTCTAAATCTAAAATTTACATTACTATCTTAATTTTCTTGTGCAAAAAGTAACACAAACTAGAAAACTCACACAATATTATAGAAGGTATACTTGTAAAAGGTATCATTCCATCTGATACCAGTTCCTCTTTTCCCCATCCCAGAGGCAGCCATTTTTACTGGTTTCTTTTGAGTCATTCCTGAAATATTTTTTTGCCTATGCAAGCATACACATATATATGTATTTTGATGTAAATGGAAATCTGTTATGCATACAATTCTGTACTTTGTTTTAATTCTTTACTTAAAATCTTTGTTTTGAAGAGTATTCTATGTCAGCATATGAAGATCTTTCTTAAGTTGTAAATGACTGCCTAGTATTTATTTGGTAATATATACTGTAATTTACATCTAAATTGTTTCTAAACTTTTATAGTTACAGACAGTGCTTCAGCAGTCATTTTTGTTTATAGCAATTTTCAGTCATGTTTTTAGTAACCCTCTCTCTCATTGACTAAAGGAAGGGTGACTCCTCAGAGTTAAGAGTCAGTTGCAAAGTTTATTAGCTTACAAATCTTGAAACATTTAAAAATTTACCTTCTTTTCAACATAGTAGAACTCGACAGAGTAAAGGAAGTTAGTTGTAATTGATTGAAAGGTAATATTTATTCTTAGGATTTCCTTTCTTTCTAAGTTTCAGATTTGAGGACAAAAGGGTCTTTGAATCAAGATAGGGAGTACTAGATACCTGCTACAAGATTAGCCTATCTTTGATTTTTCATATGGTTAAAGATGTACTAGAGGACCAGTTCCATAGCCATAGGTTTGTCCCGTAGCCACTATGATCCAGGATTGGTGACAGAGGGTATCAGAGACAGAAGACAGAGGTGAGAGATGTAAATCCTGATTAGATTTCTCTTCCGTTCCAGCCAGGAGCCAGCTTTTTCTTTAACTCAGTTCCTTAACTTAAAAGTATATGTTACTTAAATAAACTTTCTGGTTGTAACTACAGTTGCTGTTTCAACCAGAGGGAAGAATTGGGAGAAAATGACCTTTGCAGGAAGGATTAAATAAAATTATTATAGATAGAATGCATTTGCATTGCTTTATTTTTTTCCCCTCAAAATGGGAAAACAATATTTAAAACCTCTTTCTGATGTAGGTCGTAAACATATTACATGGAGCTTTAGTAATAAAAGCATTTATTCTAAAGTATTAATTACAAGAAAGTTTCCCAAAATATTGGTTGATAATTGATTCTGCAGATTTTTTCTATTTCTTATGAAGTGCCTTATATATTTGACTTTATAACTACTTCATTTTTTCTAATATAAGTATGTTGTGCTATAAGTTCCCTACTAACATTGCTTAAACTGCATCCCACAAATTAGGTTGTGTTGTATTTTCATTCTCAGTCAGTTCAAAATATTTTCTAATTCCCTTTGAGATTTTTTGACCTATGGATTATTTAGACGTTTGCTAATTTTCAAGCATTTAAAAATCTTATCTTTCTGTTATTGATATCTAGTTTAATTTCATTTTGAGCTGAGAACATACTTCGTATGATTTCAGTTCTTTTAAGTTCATTGAGGTTTCTTATGACCCAGAATATAGTCCCTTTTGGCGGATGTTCTGTGTGCACTTGCAAAGAACGTGTGTATCCTGGTATTATTCTATTGTTGGATATAAGTGCCTCGGATTTTAAAGTGGATTATTTTTTGCAGTGGTGTATTGTTTGTAACAAAGGGAACGTTTGGACAGCTTACATGTGAGTGGCAGTACAGTTTTGATGAGTTTACCAAAGAGCCATTCATTGTTCATGGGAGAAGATTGCGCATTGAAGCAAAGGTATGTTGAATAGATTTCTTTTAAAAACTTAGAACTGAAAATAACGCATTGAAGTAGCCCTCACTTTTGTAACATTTCCATCTCTTTTATAGATGTTGCTTTGTCTTCGTATGGTTTTCCTGTACACCTGCTGTCTTACTCAGGCTTAAAGAAAAGAAAGCTAGGCCAAACCAAACAAAACAAAACAAAAACCTACTTTACGTGCTATTACATTGACAACAGCATCCTCAGGCCCTCATTATATTCAGTAATAGAACCCTACCTCCTCACTGCTGTCTAAGGCACTAAAATGAGAAAACCATTTGTATATCCCAGAATCCGTAGCATTTCCCTACAGAATGTTTTTCCCTGAAAATCTCACAAAAGAACACTCGAAAAGTTATCTAACAGCCAATTGTTGATAGTTCTTTCTCTCTTTATAGATATTATTCTATCATCCCAATTCAATTATAAACTTGAAGGCAGAGACCATTTCTCTCTCTGCTTTGATTCCCATCAGCTAGCACAGTGCCTGATTCTTGGATGTTGATATAAAATACAGTGAATTGCTATTCGTTTGTTGAATCAGTAGAGACTCAATATCCATTGTAAGTTGTAATGACTATAGTGGGTATTATCAAATATAGTATTATATAGGTAGAATAATACAGTAGGTATATATGATAGGAGATAATGTATTTGGCCTCAAGGTGTTTGACCAGATACCTATGGGCAGGGCCCCTTTGACACTCACTGTATTAGTAGGAAATATAGCCCAAGTTAAGTTTTGTTCTTTGTTATTTTTGTTTTGTTTTGATTTGGAGGGATTTAATTAACTTATGTAACTAAAAACTCTATGTCTACATCTTGGAACTTAGATATATATGCTCAAATGATATCATTAGCAATTATTCTACCTCCCTTTCTCTTCTTCATTCTCCCGTTTTTCACCACCCCCATCTCTAGGTTCTACTTTTTTCAGTGTTGGCTTCATTCTCAAGCAGGCCCCCCTTTGGTGATAGACTGGCCAGCAGAAGTTCCGGGCTTACACCCTAGTAGCTCAGCAGAATGAAAGCTCCTCACTGAGCCACCTTTGGTCACTTGCTTATTCCTGAATCAGTCACTTTGGTCAGGGAGTTAAAATGGGCCAGATAGCCAGGTGAGGGTCATAGAATCACCGTGGTGCTGTGAAGAAGGAAGGGTCAGCTCCGTCTGAAGTATTTGGAGTAAGAGAAGGGGAGAAATCATTACCCAAAGGGGATACAAAAAGTCGTTACTGGAGCAAGGGGCACTGGACACAGACAAGCAGAAACAAGATTTCTTCTGGGCAGCCTATAGGGCAGAACTGCCCCTGGCCTAATGTTTAATCGTTTCTCCAATCTTACCACTTATTTCAAAGACATGGGGCAGCTTTTGAGTAGACTGGAAATTAGTTCTTGGGGATCTTACACCAACTTTCCCCACTGAGAATTTTTCAGATTTATTCAGAAAATGAAAGGCCCTGTGAATGCACATGAAATAATGGATAGGGGCCATTAGCTTCTGATCTAGCCCATACTACTTTCCTGGCTTTTTCCTATTTTTTTCTCTCTCCAAGGATAAACTTCTTATCTCCTTGGTTTCTTCCCCTTCTACCTTTTCTTGCAACATTGTATCAGCAGCCATCTTTTTTTTTTTTTTAAATAAAAGTATCTGATTTCTTCTGGAGTCCGTATTTGTGTGGATATTTGAATTATAGTTATTGTTAGACTAGTAGAACCTCCACATTGCTTCCTCTAGGACCCTACCCAGAATTAACAGAGATGAACAATAAACCCATTCTTTCCATTTGTCCCTCTAATATTTAACATCCACCATTAGACAGTTCTCCACACCAACACTGAACAGAATACCGAAGGAGCGTAAAAAGTGGAAGACAATCGGGCCGGCCGAGTGGCGTGATGGTTAAGAACTCGCTTGGGATGCCAGAGGGCCTCAGTTCGGATCCCACATATGAGGGCCAGAGACACTGCCCTCTACAGCTAAGATGCTGAACAACAGCTCAACCTGGAGCTGGGCTGCCGTGAGTCGCCGGCGACGGCGTGGGCTGCAGTCCCTGTGGCAGTGGATTGCCATGGCTACCGTGTGTGGCCAGCAGCCAGCGTGAGCGGCCAGCAGCCACAGTGAGCGGCCAGCAGCCGCAGTGAGCGGCCGTCCAGAAGCCGGCGACTGATCTGCCTCGCCAGAGAAGAGCACAATGATGGTGCCAACTTGGGCCAGTGAAGCAACATCCTCCATAAGTAGATTGAAGAACAAAACGACAGCAACTTGTCTGTTCCCCTTTCCCCAATTCTCCAGCACTGTTCCCATCCCCACAATTCCCCAATAAAAAAAAAAAATCTTAAAAAAAAAAAAAAAAGTGGAAGACAATCTCATAGGATCTAGGACCCACCTTGACTTCTTTGATCTTTAAGCTACAGTCTTATTGAATGACTGGTTTAAAATGTCAGAAGTTACATAACATACACACATACACGCACACATCAACACGTGTGTGTGTATGTATGTACGTATGTACACATATGTGTGTATATTATTTCTGAGCTGAAATCGTCATTATTCCATGGCCTGGTACCAAGAACTACCTGAGAAGTTTTTTGAAGGGGAAGAAGAGTGACAGTGCTCCCAGCCTTGTCTCCTTCCCATCCTCTGTGGAAGCCTTTATGGCTTTAGCAGTTAAAATCTCACCTACAGCTTATTAACTTAGGTTCAGTGATAATACATGTGTTAGTATTTAGTCTTTTTTTCCTCTCTCTCTCTTTGTGTTTGATTCTTCTTCATTTCCCATTCTTGGCTTTTTTTTTAAGGTGTATAATTTCTACAAGGTGGACGCTGTAGGCACAGGTCTCTAAAACGGAATGCCATTTCTTTATCATGTTTCTACAACTGGATTTTCATATTAATGAAGCTACTTATTCTGTTTATAGGAACGGGTGAAGTCTGTATTCCATGCCAAAGAGTTTGGAAAAATAATTAACTTCAAGACCCCAGAGGATGCTAGGGTAAATATAATTAATCTTTTACTTAAGTAGGTAGCAGCTTCTCATTTTAAAGCCATGAAAATTGGACTCTTTTTTAAGGCAGATAAGGTTTGTTTGTTTTTAATTTTGTTTTTGTGTTTTGACAGTTTTAATATATGTAACTAGATAATATTTCCCCAAAACTGTTTTTCATTAGATTGAATTCAACACACCTACTTGGTTTTCATATCAAATTGTTCTTATTTTATTTCTTTACTCTGTAATACTTCAAAAAAAGTCAATAAACAAAACAAATTATTTTATTCTAATGCTAATCTACCACCTCAAGCCGGGAAAGAATTGTTGATTTATCTACTGTACAGCTATAGTGATTTTTTAATAAAAAACTTTTATTAATAAAAAATTACAATAGCATGGTACATAGCATGGAAGAAAACAAAAGGAGCCAAGCCAGTAGTCTGAAAATCTGGGTTTGAATATTGGTTCTGTTCCTTCTTGATTGTAGGACCTTGGGGAGGTCAGTTAACCTCAGCTTCCTCAAAATGTGAGTGATGTGAACTGAAAAGCATTATGCATACTCTAGGGATTATGGCAGTTACAAGATATGTACTGTCAAGAAAGGAAGACAGAACTGTTATCTACCTCATTAAGCACACCTAAGACGCTATTTCTGATACTGAATTGTACTCATTGTGTCATGGAACTTATAATAAGATCACATGGCTCCTTTACTGAATCCCTGGGCTGCCTGTCCTCATGCTACTCTCTGTGTTGGTGGCTGGGTATGACTTTTTACCAGTGCACTTGTCACATTGGACCCCAAAGCAGGAACTTTGGGCAATTCAGCACGTGCTGTGCAATTTTCGATCTAGACATTGTGCTATAATGCAAAACTGGCATACTAGCAGTAGAAAATTGAAAGGGGGACAAGGTACAAAGAAAGAGGAATGAAGGAACTAGTACCTCAATATGCATGTTGCCTGAGACAGGAAGACAGAGTAGAGCATGGTAATGGTGTGACTTTCAGGCCATCTTCTGTCATGTTGCTGAAGGACATTACCACCAATTTCAGTTTCTCTGTAATAAGTTTTCCATTTAACCTCTGTCACCATGTTGTTTTATCTCGGAAGCTTTGTATTTAATCCTCCTGCTCTGCTAGAAACATCCAAAGGGGGCTGCTGAGCTCAGTTCTCTCTCTGTCTTAATCCTAGAACCAGTAGGTTCTCCTTAAGTTAAAGAAGCACAAAGACCTCTGCTAAAGCTTTTCCTAATGGGATAACCCCGGTATCACCTACAAGGTTATCTGTCATTACATGCCCAATGACAGCAGACATTATTGGTAGAAAGGTTTACATTATATTTGCATTTTATCTTTGTGATTTCAAATTAGAAAATATATTATGAGAACATCTAAAATGCTCAAGAATGTTATTATGCTGCTACCCACTATAGAATTACATGTAATTATTCCTGTTCAATCAGTTGAATCCTGTATGTAGAATCATGAAGTTTTGTGATACAGAATTGGTATGGCTGAAAGGAATTTTGCATAGATAATTTTCACATTATGCCAGAATTATTCAGTTCAGCTGCCAAATTACCCTTCTCGCTCAGGATGGTTCATTTGACTTTTCTTATTCTGAAGATGAACATCCAAGTCCAAAGACCTTAGAAAACCTTTCTTACTGTCAAGTAAAACCCAATACCATTGTCCCTGAACTGTCTGGGACATTAAAGTGAGTGAATTATCTCTTATGCAGGATGAATTTAATTACTAGCTTATGAGGATAAACCTAACTAAACTGGAAAGCCAGCTTCTAGATTGCCATTTATTACATTTTGAGTTTTCTTGCAAGTTCACTGAAGTAAGTAAATATTTGTTTCTTTCCTTCAACAGTGGATCCTCACAAAGCTAGAAGAAGCAAGAGAACCTTCCCCAAGCCTCTGATGGAGAACACTGCTTGAAGACACACAGTAATAAATCATTACAGTTTCCACCTTGTAACTTCCAAAACTACTTTGGGAAATATAGTACAGAAGTAATTTCAAGTACATTAAAAAAATAAATATATATATATATATATATATATATATATATATATATATATATATATATATATATTTCAGTTAGAATCAGGTAAAAGTTATGTAATTAAAATATTTCGACTCTTTGGGGATCCATCTGGTTTTCTAACTTGGATCACGCTTCTGGTTAAAATTCTAATGACTTTGTATAAGAAACGTTTCTTTTATGAATCTTAAATTTTGCTCCAGGTGATACTCTGCAATGGTAGAGAAATTGAGCATATTTAGCCTTCATACGGAGCTAAGTTTAATGTTCCTAGTTTACATTATAAACGTCTATCATGCTTACTTCAAACTCCCTGAATAAGTGATGGGAGTGATGAAATCAGTGATCAAATCAAACATTGCCTCAGTGATATCAAGAGAACAGTAGTGGTGGCTTCTTTAGAAACATGAAGTTCTTTTTACAGATAAATATTTTGGTGTTATTTTCCTTATATTTTTATAAAGGATAGGTCTGAATTATACTTCAAATATACCGCATGACTATAAAACATAATCTTTTTTATATATAATATAATACAGACTGAATAGTAATACCATTTCAAGCCTCACTTTAAGGAAGGCTTGAAGAAATGAGTGTCATACCCAAATAGGGAAAGCCCTTCTCAAAATTTTGAAGCCTTAGAAATACTTCCTCAAGCCATCTTCATGGGATCTACTTGGTTTCCCCAGGTCATGATTTTAATAGATTGCTGACTTTACAGGAAAATCCCTGAAGCCTTAACAATACCAACTTTTCATTCACTGGTAATATAAAATAAACAAAATCCCCACCTTCTTAGATTTGAGTTATGCTTCACAATAGACAGCGCCTCTCCTAAGTAAATGTATGTACCCTAAAGATGAACCCAGTAGCCCGTCCGGTTGGTATAGATTGAGAATTTCTGGTTTGCTTACAGTTATTCAAATGAGACTCATTCTTTTACATGTATAGCTCATTAGATCAAAAATTACAGGCTGCACATTAGTAAAAACAAGATGGGTTTTTTTCTTGGTATTTGTTCAAAAACTCTAATATTAGTGGACTTTTTCAAGTGAAAGGGGTTGAATGTATGACTGTAAACCATGAAGAGAATCATGCAGTGACTGATTTAGTTATTAAATAATGCAGAGTATTTGTGCATGTTGTATGTGCCATGAAATTATTATAAAGTATTTTTGGAATTGGAGACTGTATTGTCAAAGGTTGTGAAATGCTCCTTAGGTTCCTCAAACCCTTGCTTTGTTGTAAAAGCTAAAATAAACAGCATGCCAGGTTGTAACTGTATTTCTTCCTGACCAAATCTAGCTACCAAATACTGTTGATTTTCCTCTGATTGTAAAAACACATTGTTTATTATCAGTAGTTTCCCCTAGAATGTTTTTTTTTCTTTGCTGAACATAAATTGGGTCAAAAGATGACAAATTTCAAATCCCATGATAGTGTGTGCTCCCATGATGACGTTTGTTCAGAGTAACATACACATTTTCTCTGTCGTGAGCCCCTCCAATGTTGCATGCATTAGCATTAAGCCTAAGAGTACAGGTCGGCAGGAAACTCATCAGATGGTCCTCATCCAAAATGTCGTTTTACTGAAGTTCCATTCAATGCCATTAGCCGAAGACCTCATACCTACTCCTGTTTCATGCGTTCATTCTCGGAAAAAAATACAGACCCATAACTCAGGTGTCTCATGGTAAAAGGGGAAAGCCTAAGAGAGTAGCGTAGAAATCTTTCTAGTATCCCCAGGAGGCTAGCAGGAGCAGGTCTTGTAACTATTACACATGCACATTCAACATGCCTATCCTTCCTGTTCCCCTACCAGTAAGAATCTAGGAATGCCTTTTCTTACTTTTCCTCTACCTGTCATCTACCTATCACACTTCCCATCACTTCCTCTGTTTCTAGAGTAGAAAGACCCACAATTTCAACAGCAGTCATTTGTCAGTCATCTTAGAAGATTGTCTTCATCTAAACAAAGAACATCAGATCACGAGATGAGTCAGTCTTTTTAACGTAATATTTTACAATTTACAATTATGTGTTTGATTCTGTATTCTTTTTTCTTGAATATTACAGAGTCCATCATCTTATTGTATTTGAAAATAGTCAGCCCTGAATTACATTTTACTACATTTAATGGCTCTTGGCTTGAGAACGCTAAGCTTACCTCGGTAGTTTGGTAGTTGCCATGGAATAAGGCCTTGAGTACTGTGTCAGTTCTTTCTTTGTATTATTTGTTAGCTATAGCCCCAGGCCCTGGATTCTAGCACAGCATATATTCTGGACTGTGATTATTGGGTGATACCCAAGGCAGAGTGTCTGTTCTCTGCCAGCTGTCCTCCAGAAAGCTGTGTTGGAAACAGCATCTTTGATTTCTGGTACAGAAAGAAGCTTGTGATTTCTTCACATTTACCAAACACTCTCTGAACCAAAGAACATGTGCATGTCTCCAGTGGCTTCCTTTTCATAGTGTATGTTGGCTGCTTCTTGCATAGTATTGTTAGCAAGACTTTGGGATTTTTCCCAGGCTCAGTTCAACTGAGTTATTTTCTGATCCCTACATAATCATTACCGGCTATCGGCAGTCCTTCCTGGGCCTGCTCTCTTCCATAGCTCTAATCCTTTCCAAAACTATCCTGTGGCCTCCAAATAAATAAGAAGTTTTTCTTTTCTTTTTCTATCCTAATTATTTCTGTCATCTTCTTTCTGATGGTAGTAGCAGTAATAGTATCCCACTGAATACATATGTACCTATAGATATACTTTATAAATAGTATCCTATTCCTGTCTGATAAAAAGTAAAAATTCTACTCAGTGCTGAATTTTCTACACCTTAGTTATTCAGTCATCAGTTGCCAATATTAACTGATCCTTCAGGCCAAGCCAAAGCCCCTGTATGAATGACTGGGACGAGGTACTGGGGTAGTTTGCCTGTAGGAGCTGAGAAGTGTGCTGAATACACTCAAGGTGAAAGTAGCCATTTGGGACTGGGTGTTTTCGTGCCCCAGCCAACACAATTCAGAGAAATCTGTCTGGGTTTCAGGGCCATTACTTTTTACCTTTTCTCAAGATCAACTAAAATTCTCAAGGATAGTGTTTTTCAAACTGTAAGTCTTAACCCCGTCGTGACCCATGAAATCAATTTAACATCTCAAGACCAACATATTTTAAAAGTGGAATAGAAAAGGAAAGAAAAGAAGAGATCATTGCACCTAACAAGGTTAAACATTATTTCCAGAAATATTATTTTAGTTACTGTGTGTACTGGGTCACAATATAAAATGTTATTTCCTGTTGTGAATTTTAAACAATTCAGTTTAAAGAAGTCCCCCAAAACGCTGAAAGTCACTGGTATTGGAGGCATGGGCCAGCCAATGATGGTTTGAACATTCTGGATTGTGTGGGGCTTGTCCTTAGGTAAGAAGCTGCAGATCTGCCACTCAGGGAGTCTGCACCTTGTGAGAACTGACTTTTTCCCTAGAGTAAGGAGACAGGATAGCTCTTGGTTTGGGTTTGTAAAATATTTTCCTTTCATGGTGTGTATTAAGTCCTACTGACAGTGGGACCAGAAAAACCATAGAAAAGTTAGATCCACAAACAACACCCCAAAAAAGGCCACAGGATATCATTTAACTTGATGTATTTCAACTTCTCTCCCACTAAGCATTTTACTAGGATTGGAGCCTGAAGTTCTTTTTAAGTAAGATGAATTTTCTTCATCCACCTCCTGTTGGATTCACCGTACAGGTACCAAAGGCCCTTAAAAATGGGGAGTCTATACGGGGGTTACATTCTTATAGGGCCAACATACTCATTCATTGGAGGGTGCTATACAGTGTCAATGCAGTTTAGCTGAAAATAATTGGATTTCCTCATTTCTGCAGGATTCAAGTAGAAAATGTAGATACCTGCATTCTTTATGCAAGATTCAATACCAAGTTTATTCAACCTGATTTTCTTCGGTGCTACCCAGTATCACAGCTCCTTTACATACTCTAAAAGGGGACCATTCACCCTCCTATCCAACCCTTTGAAATATATTTTTGAAATTATACCTTACTGCTAATATTAACCTAATCAAGTTAGCATTAATTAGTTTTAAGTTTTTACGATTCTTGTCATCTATATTCTTGATAATTGGCCAATTATAGCTATTAGTACAGACTTTTCTCAAGCTTTTCTTTCTGCCACAATTGGTGTTAGGTAGTATTGGTTTCAGGGCTAACCTAAAAGCAAGCCAGCACATGTACTGAGGAGATGCTGGATTCTGTGTGTGTGTGTCACTTGCTCTTGAGTCAGCTCAATTCCTGGAGACCCTATGAATGAGTGATGTGCACAGTGCCCTGTCCTCAACAGCCTTGCTCAGCTCCTGTAGACTCATCCCTCTGGCTTCTTTTATGGAGTCAGTCCATCTCATATCTGGTCTTCCTCTTGTCTTGCTGCCTTCTATTTTTCCAGCATTATTGTCTTTTCCCAAGAACCCTGCCTTCTCATGATGTGCCCGAAGCAGGAAAGTCCTACTCTATTACAAACCTTCACGTTTCTTTAATCAAAACCTTTATTTTGTAAAATAAATTGTTCCATATCATTTTTAAAAAGCTTCACTTTGGAATTATAGATTAGTTCATTTTTAAAAGCATTGTGGAATTTTTTAAAAATTGATAATTTTGGTTACCCAAAGAGCTACATAAGAAATGCAACTTTAAAATTTTTAGGTTGATATGAGTGTATTTTTAATTGTTTTTTACTTCATACAACTTAATTTGTATTACAGTTTAACCTCTGCTGTGATAGACATCTGTCGACCTAAAAATCCCTGTCACTGAACACTTAATTTAGTATTGCTCTGATACCTTAATAATGTGTTCCTTCTAATGAAATCCTTGTAACAAGAAACCCTGTGAGAGTGGTATAATAAAAAGTCTAATACTCAGAAGTGTACCTAAAATAGACTATGTTGGAAACATTTCTTATGCCACCATACCACCAGTGTTCCATTGGCTACCCAAAAGTTCC